TTGTTATTGGCATCTGTCCTGTCTGTGTATTATTAGTATTAGATGGCCTGCCGGTTTTCAGTATGCAAATGACACTCTAGGTGTTCCACAAAATCACTCTTTAATGATGACCTTTTTTAGACAGTCGTTTTGACTGCTCAAAATGACTGTCAGTCATGGGTTTATGCAAATGCAAGGTTGAGTTGCTTATTCAATCTCTAGGTATGTTTATGAAGTGGTCCGGCCTGAACGAATGGGATGGAACGATCTGAGGTGTGCACGAGAGGGGAGGGACTGTGCATAAACATTCCAATAACTTCCTTAGTGTATGTGCGACAATTTAAAAAGTACAAACGTGTCTCAAAATAAATAAATTGAAAAATGTTGCAAAAATGTTGTGTTCCCTGAACAATATCCCCACAATGAAATGATTGTTGACAGACAACATTGTGTAAAAAAAGGTATTCGGTCTGTGTTTTGTAATGTACGAGTCGCGCATATATTCGTGTATAATTGGCATCGGGCAACTGGGTATGCCCATGCCACACAGCCGTATCACAATGTTTTTTTCTGTTTTTACCTTGCCCGTACCATCAAAGATGGAATGGAAAAATTTCTGTCCGGCGTTGTTGTCGTTAATAATTGTTATTGTGTGCATGATAACTTCACTAATTCTATTCCAAACTTCATCAAATTTGGTCACCTTATTCATCAGTATGAAGTCTTACCTGAGTATGAACGACATATGTCCTGTATGAAAATATCATGCAAAAATTGAGAAAATCTGATAAAATATTTCGACTGTTTCTATTTGACTGATCACTGGTGAGACACATTCAAAAGTCGCACTCTGTTGACATACTCTACATTTGTTTATCTCATTTGATTCACTAAATCACTGACATTTAAATCTTAGTTCATCATCATGATGGGGCAGGGCAATTCATTCAAAAGGTCATCATAACAGAGGCATCAGTCGCGGGATCTAGAAGCATAACTAGATATAATGCCATGACCGAACAAGTTTTAGTTCACAAAGCCAGACGATAATGCCCTCACAAAATTGTTGTATTTTGATATTGAAATCTGTTGTTATTGGCAATGAACCATTTTATTTGATATCTATTTTAGTATTAAATACTTGTTACCTCATAATTTCTCTGCCTTATAAGTACCTTCTTCTTTATTCGTTTCCAAAAACAACAGTTAATCTGCAGCAAGGACATCCTAAAATTAACAGATATTGATAATGCAATAATATAATTTACATGTAAGGACGAAAAAATGTCAGATAATTGTAATGTGAAATATAACAGAAATGGTCTGCTCCAGGCTTCTTGAATACATTGCATTGAGCATTTAACATTAGCACATTCTGCTATCTGTGGAGGCTCTCAGCAGTGTGTTAAAACCACATACCGGTAGTTCTCACGTCATAATTTTTCCTTTTCATAAGAAAACTGGTGATATGGTAGCAGTAAAGACATTTAATCATGTGAGCTTCATGCGACCCTATGAAGTGCAGATGAGAGAATTTGAAGTGCTCTTGAAACTGAATCATGAAAATATAGTCAAGATGTTTGACATTGAAGAGGAGGTTAGTTATGTTTTGTCCTGTGATCAATAAATCTTTATTTAATGAACTCTCACCAAAATGTGGTATAATTTAGTGTCACTAAATATATTCAGAATGAGTGTACCATTAATGTATACATACAATGGGATATATATTATTCTTACTGTAAATCAAGTTAGTCTGGTCAAACCAGATTATTTTGGTCTGTCTTCTTTATGAAAATGTTAGTTTATTTTGGCTAAACTTTAGTTTTGCGCATAAATAGTATACCAGAGTAGTAGCTAAGTTCTCATTAACTGAACTGCAGTACATGGCAGTGATAGTTTAGTTTGATCAGCAAAAGTAGCAAAAGCTGTGGTCGACATTGCAGCCAATAATGTTCAGTTTTCAAAACATCACCAGTATGAAACAAATGGATATATATTCTCAATGCCACTTTTAACACATTGAAATTATTAGTAATTGCAGATCAAAATGGAGGTGTTGTAGATAATATTTGTGAGCTGACATTACTATTAAGTTCTGCCAGCTAAATTTT